TGATTGCCGCTGTGACCCCCACAGGAAGTTCCCATGAGGAAGTTGGAGCCCTTTCCAAGCCATCTCACTGGCCCAGACTCTGCTGGGATTATTTTGACCCCCCAGGGCAGAGTGTGGCCATCTGACTGGCTTTCTCTCTCAGCAGGAGACGGGGTACACGCCTGCAGGTGGGGGAGCCCCAGTACATTGCACGGATGAGCGGTGCAAAGCCCATCAGCCCCGAGGCTCTTCCCTCCCTGGCTGCCCCATCTTCATGGCACTTTTCCGCTTGATGGTGGCCTTTTAGCCCACTGGCCCTTCCCAGACAGCTGGAGCGGAGTCACTCCTTGCAGTAGAGGCTGAGCAGGAGCGTGGTCTTCAGACATTTCAGTGGAGACACCCGGGCTTTCTGTGGCAGCAGTGGGTTTGCCAGTGCAGCCAGAGGCCAGGGGCTTTGGCCAGAGCCAGCAGGGATCCCCAACCCCATAGAACCCTCCCAGGGGCTGACGTGCTGTCGCAGAGGTCACGCAGGCACGGTTGCAGCAGGGTCTTGCAGGCTGAGAGGACGGTCTGAGTTGAGGGAGGGGAACTGGCAAGGCACAGGGGTTTCAGAGCTTCTGGGGGTTCAGAAGGTGCCCAGACCTCTGCAGCCCAGTGAGGAATTCACAGGGTGGTGGGTGACTCAGTAGCCAGGGCTTGGCTGTGGGCGTGGGACACTCCAGGGCTCTGAGCTGCATCCCGGGGGCAACAGCAGACCCTCAAAGGCTGAGTTTAGAGGGGTATATCTGGAGGAGGCACGGAGTTCACATTGCGGGGCGCTAGGAGCAGAATGGTAACACAGACCAGCTGTGGTGGCTCATGCTTTGTAGTCCCAGCACTTTGGGAGGCTGAGGTGGGAGGAGCGCTTGAGCCCAGGAGTTCAAGACCAGCCGGGGTAACATAGTGAGACTCCGTCTCTACAAAAAGTAGAAAATTAGCCAGGCATGGTGGTGCACGCCTGTAGTCCCAGCCTCGCAGGAGGCTGAGGCAGGAGGATCAGTGGGGCCCAGGAGGCGGAAGTTACAGCAAGCCGAGATTGTGCCACTGCACTCCAGCCTGGGCGACAGTGAGATCTCTGTCTCAAAACACAACTAAAATGGCAGCACAGTTGCCGTGAAACCATCCCAGGGAGGGGGACGGGTCTGGCTCACACTTGATTGACTGATTTGATTGGATTATTATTATTATTATTATTATTATTTTGAGACACAGCCTCTCTCTGTCACCCAGGCGGGAGTGCAGTGGCGTGATCTCGGCTCACTGCAACCTCCACCTCCCAGGTTCAAGTGATTCTCCTGCCTCAGCCTCCCGAGTAGCTGGGGTTACAGACATACACAATCATGCCCAGCTAATTTTTGTATTTTCAGTAGAGACAGGGTTTCTCTGTGTTGGTCAGGCTGGTCTCGAGCTCCTGACCTCAGGTGATCAGCCTGCCTCAGCCTCCCAAAGTGCTGGGATTAGAGGTGTGAGCCACCGTGCCCGGCCTCGTACCTGATTTAATGTACGTACTGCCGAGCTCTGTGGTGTGAATGCTTCCACTGTGGCTGAACGGAAACTACCAACCTGAGCGGGAAGGAAATGCGGCAGCCTCCGCCAGGTAGGGTTCCTCCCTGCGGACGGACGCAAGAGACACCAGCAGCTCAGTAGACAACAGCTGGGGTAAAATGCTAGCGAACTAATTAGGAAGTGGTGAGGCTAGAATATTGATTATGGTTGCTTTTAATATACTTTATATAGGCTGGGTGTTGTGGCTCATACCTGTAGTCCCAACACTTTGGGAGGCCAAGGGAGGAGGATTGATGGAGCCCAGGAGTTTAGGACCAGGCTGGGCAACATGGTGAGACTCCATCTCAACAAAAAAATATAAATTAGCCAGGTGGTGGCATGCGCCTGTATTCCTAGCTACTCAGGAGGCTGAAGAGGGAGGATCCCTTGATCTCAGGGGTTCATGGCTGCTATGAGTTATGATTGTGCCACTGCACTCCAGCCTGGGTGATGGAGTGAGACCCTGTCTCAAAAAATAATCATATAATTTACATAATTAGAAGTTTTGTGACACTTTTTTTTTTAAATAGAGATGGAACCTTGCTATGTTGTTCGGGCTGGTCTTGAACTCCGGGCCTGAAGTGATCGACCCTCCAGCCTTGGTCTCCCAAAGTGCGGGGGTCACAGGTGTGAGTCGCTGTACCTGGCCGTATGACTCCGTTTTTATAATGACTGTGTGTAAAACTGACCTACACTGTTGCATCCAGCAGTCACATGACCCAATTCATCCTCAACGCCAGCAGCAGTCATTGAGTCCTTCCTTCACTTCGAATCTGATTTCCCTTCTGCCCACCAGCCTGAGAAAAGTCTGCTTTTGAAGGGCTCATGTCATTCGATGGGACTGTCGTAGATAGGAGGATCCCCCTGGAGGAGAGAGCTCATCACACTGATAGGTTCAACCCACGCTCAGGGGCTGCCCAAGGGTGAGGGGGCCCCTGAAGGTCATTCTTAGAATTCTGCCACCACAGAACCCCACAGGCCATTGGAGGGAGAGGGTCTACTGTCAGACGGTGTGATTCACACACACAGACCAGCCGTGCTGTCCCTAAAGGGCCCAAGCTGATCCCACCATTCAGCAGGGCTGCTCACAGGGCACTGGCCTCTCCCTGTTTAAGACTATCCCTGGAAGGCTGTGGAGGAGCCAGAACTGGGGCCCGCGCTCCCTACGGGAGGTGAGCGTTGTGGAGAGCCCAGCTGCCCGCTGTGTTGAACCTTGGGCCAAGAATCAATCTGTCCCTGGCTCCCTTGGGGGTGGGGAAAGATGAGGTGTATCGGGCAGGGTCCAGTCCAGAAACAGAAGCCAGGCATTGAGAAACAGAAGGGGCAAAAAGGGAACCCAGGTGTGGAGGAGACCCTGCCAGCACCGGCTCCACGCAGCCGACCCTGGGATGAAAGACAAGAACCGGGCTCTTCAGAACTCGGAGCTGGGAAGGCGGGTGTCTGCCAGCTGGTGGGTGCTGGGGGTCTGTGGGGTGTGTGATGAGTAATTCTGCTGTGGCGGGAAAGCCACAAAGTGGATTCTGCTGCTGCTATGGGAAGGGACGGTCACTGCCCCTGCCGCTATGGGGAGAAGAGCCCCAGGGGGAGGAAGAGGCGGCGGGCAGAAGCCCATTCTCTTCGCAGGCTTCAGTTTCACGCTCTGGTCCCTCCTGGCTGTGCCGGGGAGGGAGCCACTGCCGTACAGAGATGTGAGTTCCAGAGGCACAGTCTGGCACAGAGTGGCAGGTTCCAGCTGAAGGACAATCGTAACAGCAGGACGCCTTTCTCTGGGGTCCCGGGCTCCCGTCCTGGACCTCCGCCCCCTGGCCCCACGCATCCTCGCGTCTTCTGAGTGTCTCTTTGTCTTGCACATGCAGTGGGTGGGTAGACTCTGCAAGCGTCCAGACGGGCTTGTGATGCTGATGAATAAGCTGATTTTGATGGGGTGTATGAAATGGAGATGCTCGCCCAGGGGCTCAGCTCACTCGTGCTCTCATTTAAAAGCAGAAAATAGCGACTTCATTCTCGGATACGTTTGCCAGCCCCAAAGGATTAATTATGCGCCCAGAAGCAGTGGAGCAGAATATTTTGGCAGGATTTTTAGGATTTGTGTCATCGTGGCTTAATATGTGTTTCTTCAGAGCTGGTTAGAATTTTAAAGGATCTGAAACACTGCAAGCTCTCTGTGTATAGAGGCTGTGTAATCAGGCTGGTACATTTGCAAAGTGCCAGTTTAATTTTTTATTTTTATGTTTTTTTGAGACAGGGTCTCACTCTGTTGTGCAGGCTAGAGTGCAGTGGTACCGTCACAGCTCACTGCAGCCTCCACCTCCCGGGCTCATTGATCCTCCCACCTCAGCCTCCCGAGTACCTGGGACTTCAGGTGTGTGCCAGCACGCCCGGCTGATTATTGTTTGTAGAGACAGGGTTTTGCCATGTTGCCCAGGCTAGTCTTGAACTCCTGGCCTCAAGCTGTCCTCCCACCTCAGCCTCCTAAAGTGCTGGAATTATAGGCATGAGCCACTGTGCCTGGCCCCACAGTGCTAATTTTAACTTTTTGGATTAATAAGACTGCTAACATGCATTTCATCTGTTTGGTGGTAATTCCTGCTTCAAAGAGAGACCTTGGTGAATCCAAACCCTAAGCAGATGGCTCAACTAATTATCACAAAGCGAATCCCACCCAGTGGAGAAACAAATTTGAGAAGCCCAGAAGCCCCTCCATCACCTGCCACCCCCTGCCCTGGAAACAGCCGCTCTCCTGGTGCTGATACTGGAGCTTTGAATGTGAAGGATGCTTGACTGTTCACATGAAATAGGGAGAGAGGGTTTGGGGCGTTGCTGGTGCACTGGGGAGGGGGGATGGCCCCTGGAGATACGGGAGGGAGACCACCACTCCGTCTGTCTCGAACCCTCACCCTCTCCCTCCTTCTCTGTCCTCACACACTCACTCCCTGTCTCGGGCTTTTGAGCGTCGTGTCCCGGGAAGAGGGGTCAGCTGTGCAGCCCACAGGGCCCTTGGCCCGGCTTCCTCCAAGGGGGTGGGGTAGACACCCGCATTTTCACAGCAGAGACGGCCTCCCAGCCTCTGTGCTCCCGAGGTGTGTGGACAGACGGGCATTGCCTTTGTTTTACCGTTTGCTTTATTAGTCTCAGTGCTTTCCTTGGATGGGGTTTCTGGAATGATCTGTGATGTGCTTCTCCATGGAGGTCCTGCATGCTGGGCAATGGCCTCCCAGGCTGGTTGCTCCCCATCCAGGGAAGCCCCGCTCCAGACATTCGAGGCCCTGCACGTGCAGATGTCACGTGTGACTCTCAGAGAGCCTCCCGCTTCGATGTGTCGGCCCTCCAGCCTGCACCCAGGGGCCTTGTGCCCGCTGGGGCTCATTTACTCCCCTCATCCAAGTCAGCGCCTGCTGGGGTTCACGGGACCTTCCTGTTCCTTCTCTGTCTTGCAGGTTTTGGGATTTGAGATCGACGCAGTGAACTCTGTCCAGTTTTCAAACCACACAGGTAAGGCGTTGGCTCCAGCAGCTGACGCAGAGCAGAGTGAGGGTGGGGGACAGGACTTTCGGGTGGACGGGAACTGGGGTCCCTGGTGTCATTCGGCAGAGCCTGCACAGCACGTCAGGGCATAGCCTGGGTGGCCTCGCCTCTGAGCAGGGGTGTGTTGACTCAGCTTCACTGCCTTGGGGCATGTGACACAGTGCAGGTGGCAGAACCTCTCGGCGCCTCGGTTTCCCCGCTCTAAAATGGGAGAGCAATCCTAACACCGGCCATAGGGTTCCCAGAGTTGATTAGGTCAATTGCTTGAAGCGCTTGGACCAAGGCCTGGCTCAGAGCACAGCTGTGTGACTTTTGCTGCCAGCCAGCTGGCCTGCCTGCGAGGTGCTGTCCCTGCCTCCCGGCGCTGAGGAGGGTCCCCCGCAGGCTGGTCATGCTGGGGGACATGTAGGTGGTTCCGGGTTTTCTGTTAAGAGCAGTGCTGCAGGAGCCCGTGTGTGCCTCTGTCTCTGTGCATGGGGACACCGAGGACTTTGCTGGGTCAGGGGACTGAGGGTGGCCGGCCTCAGAAGCCCCTCACAAAGTCCCGGGCCTGGAGGTGGGGGCGCCTGGAGTCCTCCCTCCTCTTCATGGTCCCGGGCCTGGAGGTGGGGGTGCCTGGAGTCCTCCCTCCTCTCCGTGGTCCCGGGCCTGGAGGTGGGGGCGCGTGGAGTCCTCCCTCCTCTCCGTGGTCCCGGGCCTGGTGGGACACGTGGAGTCCTCCCTCCTCTTCGTGGTTCCTGGACTGCTTCGTTGGCAGGAGAACAAAGCCACTTGGTTCTTTGAAACACCCCATGTTGCTTCCCCTGAAATTTCTCTGAACCCAGACGGAAACCTGGGAGCACAGAACGTCCCAGAAACAGCATGGACGGGATGTGGGGGAGCCTGGCCCCCACCCCAGCAGGAAGGAATGCTGTGGTTTCTCCTGGGGCGCGCATGACACGTGCTGAGAGGAAAGAGCTGCTCGGCCGGCGCGGATGGACAGGCTCCAGCACTGGCAAAACCCTCTCCTGCCTTTGCTTGCTGGGCACACTGGGGCTACGAAATACAGAGATTGTCCCAAAGACTGGGGCCTCTGGGAGCCTCCCCGGGAGGGAGGGAGCCTCCACATGTTCTTCCTGGCTGCTCGCCACTCTCCCGTAGAATTGAGTTTTCCGTGGGCGAGCTGGCTGGCTTGGACAGTAAAGCAGGCTGTTGAGTGTGTTTCTGGGGACAGGGATGTCCTCTGTCAGCGTTGGGTCAACACCTGCGTAGACCCGGCTGCCCTGGCATGGATTCCAGGATGCGGGAAGGGGCCTGGGCTTTGCTGATGCCTTCCGGGCATGCTGGAAGCTTCTCAGTGGGTGAGGGGCTGGCTGACCTGAGGACTCCAAGACAGAAAGGGGTCTCTGGCCTGCCCTCAGAGTGCTGGGATGACGACAGGACCCCAGGCCTTTGGGAGCCACTGCAGGTGCAGTGCCAGACAACCGGCTTGGGGGCTTCCCTTTCCATGGGGCCCAGCCTCTGGTTCCCTTCCTATGGACTCCAGCCTCCTCCAGATGCCATGGGGGGCCTGCTGGTGCAGGACCCCTTAGCCAGCTCCGGCTGTGGCTGTGGCTGGCTCCCAGCACCCTGTACCCACATTCTCAGGGTCAGCTGTCTGTGTGGCCTGATCAGGAGGCCCCGGGTAGCTTCCCTAAGGCCGCCTCCGTGGCTCAGGGGCAGCTCCCTAGGGCGGTGCTGGCAGGCATCACTCCCCCTGTACCGGCACCTTCTGCCTGTTCCCTTCCCCCACCCCACACTGTGCTGCCGGGGAGTGAGGCGCCGGGCACCTGCTCTGGGTACCATGGGAGCCGGTGGTCAGGACGGGGGACTCGGCTGCTCTCGGCTCCCGCGCTGCCCATTGTGAGGCCTTCACGGGGCTGCAGGCGCTTTTTGGTTTTTGGGTTTTTTGCTGTTTTTCCTTCCCCCACCCCTGCCCACTGGCTACAGGTTCTTATTTTTCACCAACGTCACCTCCAGGAAGCATTTCACTGGCCTGATGCACAAGGAAAGACTTCCGCACACGGCACGTGCCTCACATGTTGTGGGGGCTGTTCTGCTCCGGGCACCCTTGCTCCAGGGCTGCGCTGCCCGGACCATCCGAGGGCCGCGTTGCCCTGTCCTCCTGCTGTGTGGCCCCTCGTGTATGCCCAGGACGAAGCTCATGCCCTGTGTGACCAGCCACGTGAGCTCAGCCACAAGCAGCCCTGCGGACACCGGGTTGTTCCCACATTCTGGCTGTTGGGGGTCATGCTGCTGTGAACGTTTGTCTAGACAGCTTTTGGGGGATGTGTTTTCAGTTCTCCAGTGCACACCTAGGTGTTGGAGGTGGGGTCACACAGGCTGCGCCTCATTTGGCAGAGAGCTGGGATGACGCTGCCAGGGAGCTCATTAGCGACTCTGCCAAGGGTTTTCTTTTTTCTCTTTCGTGTGTGTGTGTGTATGTGAAGGTCTCTTGTCCAGGCAGGAGTGCAGTCGTGTGATCATGGCTCACTGCAGGCTTGACATCCCAAGCTCAAGAGATCCCCCCTCCTCAGCCTCTTAAGGGACTGGGTCTACAGGTGTGCACCACCACACTTGGTTAATTTTCCAATTTTTCATAGAGATGGAGTCTCACTATGTTGCCCAGGTTGGTCTCGAACTCCTTGGGCTCAAGCGATCCTGCCCCCTCAGCCTCCCACAGTGCGAGGTTCACAGGCGTGAGACTCCACACCCCAGTCTTTTTCTTTATTAGAGACAAGGTCTCTCTGTCGCCCAGGCTGGCCTGCAGTGGTGCAGTCAGCTCACCACAGCCTTGACCTCCTGGGCTGAAGCGATCCTCCTGCCTCCTCTGCCTCCCGAGTGGCTGGGGCTGCAGGTGTGCACTACCATGCCCACTGTGGGTCCAGGGTTGTTACTGGGTGGTCATGTGGGCAGTTTCTGCCTGGGATGGCCACACCACCAGACTGCTAGTGGACACAGGTGTTCCACATAAGCCACGTTGTTGGTTCCCTGATACCTCTGGGGGGGGGGGGTGGAAGCTGAGCCCCCAGCTGCCTACAGAGCCCACCTGGTGCAGGCCTGGCCGCCTCAGGGCTGCTGCTTGAGCTCCTGTACCCTCCCCTGGCTAAGCCCCGATTCCTCGAGGCCACCATTCATTTTTCCACACTCTGAGCTGTGCCCCCCAAACCCAGGACAGCCGGGCTTGGGAGCCTCCACCTTGCGGCCAGCATTCCCAGTGGCCCCTTCGAGAGGGTTTCCTGGAGCTTCCTGTCTGAGCTTCCTGGCCTGAGGGCATCAGAAAGGAACTTTCAGAGCTGGAGGTCAGCAGATGAACGAGTCACACGTCCTGGCTTTCGGAACGTGGAGCCAGAGAGGGTGGGACAGGTGACCTGCTGGGCTTGGTGGTCCTTGCTGCAGGGAAAGGGAGGCTGCTGTGAACACAGGAGCTGCAGGGCTGGAGAGGGCCAGGACCAGGCGCCTGCTGATGGGCACCAGTGAGGGGCCGGGACCAGGCGCCTGCTGATGGGCAGCAGCAAGGGGCGGGGCTGGCCCACACTCCCTGGCCGGCTGGGGTTGGACAGGCGCCCGAGGCCCCTTGGACTTCCCGAGGAGCTGCTCATTTGGCCTCTGTTTTTTCTTTTTCTTTTCTTTTCTTTTTTTTTTTTGAGGCAGGGTTTCGCTCTTGTTACCCAGGCTGGAGTGCAATGGCGCGATCTCGGCTCACCGCAACCTCCGCCTCCGGGGTTCAGGCAATTCTCCTGCCTCAGCCTCCTGAGTAGCTGGGATTACAGGCATGCGCCACCACGCCCAGCTAATTTTTTGTATTTTTAGTAGAGACGGGGTTTCACCATGTTGACCAGGATGGTCTCGAACTCTTGACCTCGTGATCCACCCGCCTCGGCCTCCCAAAGTGCTGGGATTATAGGCGTGAGCCACCGCGCCCGGCCCTGGCCTCTGTTTTTTCATCTGTAAATGGAATGAGTTGGACAGGGGATCCAAGTGCCCTCCCCTGTTCGAGAAGGTTCTCATGGGCTCTGGGCTGGTACCACATCCTGCAGAAGTGCGAGATAATGCCCCCTTGTTCTGACAGGAAGCTGGGCCTCAGAGGGACCTGGGGCATGTGTCTGAGACCTGGCAAGGGCTGGACATCTCCCCATCCTCACAGCTGTGATGGCTGAATTGCATCCCCCCAAATTCTCATGTTGCAGCCTCACCCCAGCACCTCAGAGTGGACTGGATTTGGAGATGGGGCCTTTACACAGGTCACCAGGTTGAAAGAGGCCGCCAGGGTGGGCCCTGATTGAATCCGATCAGCATCCTTGTAAGAAGAGATGAGGACACAGACACACGCAGGGACAGCCCCGTGAGGACACAGGGAGGCGATACTGTCTGAAACCCAGGGGAGAGGCCTCAAGGACCAGCCCTGGCTACGCCTTGACCTTGGACCCCAGTGCCTAGGACAGTAGGAGAATTGGTGTGTGTCACTGGAACCGCCTGGGTGCGGTCCTTCCCGACGGAACCCGGTATTAGTCATTCTCACATGGCTGATAAAGTCATATCCCAGACGGGGTCATTTACAAAGGGAAAGGTTTACTTGACTCACAGTTCAGCAGGGCTGGGGAGGCCTCGGCAAACTCACTGTCGCAGCCGAAGGGGAAGCAAACGTGTCCTTCTTCACATGGCGGCGGCAAGTGCAGAGTGAGGAGCCCAGGGTTTTCAAAGCCCCTTATGAAACTGTCAGCTCCTGTGAGAACTCACTCACCATCACAAGAACAGGATGGGGGAAACCGCCCCATGATCGAATGACCTCCCACCAGGTCCCTCCCACGACATGTAAGCTACAGTTCCAGGTGATATTTGGGTGGGGGCACGGCCGAGCAGCATCGCCTCCCCGGGAAAGCAGCACGTGTGCAGCCGTGTTGAGCCCCACCCTGCTTGGGAAGGTGCTTAGAATCCCGGAGCAGAAAGGACCGGGAGGGACCATTGCTCGCCTCCCTCCTCCTGCCCCTCCGTAGCCCCCCATTCACCCCAAACACCTGCCCCCGCCTGGCAGAAGCCTCCCCAGGACACACCCCACCGCAGAGGGGCAGGCTGCCATGTGAGCCACTGACTGGACACACCTGACCCTCCTGACCCCGAGTGGCTGTTAACCCGGGTCCATCGGGCTCCGTCTCTGGCAGACCTACCCCTCAGTGCATACGCGCTGGTGTCCCGCGCGGGGTACAGGGCAGGCGCCCCCAGCTGCACATCCCAGAGGCCACACTGTGCCTGGATCATTGCTGCTGCTTTTGTTTTTTGCAACGGAGTCTCACTCTGTCGTCACCCAGGCTGGAGTACAGTGGTACCATCTCGGCTCACTGCAACATCCACCTCCCGGGTTCAAGCAATTCTGCCTCAGCCTCCCAAGTAGCTGGAATTATAGGCATGTGCCACCATGCCCGGCTAATTTTTGTGTTTTTAGTAGAGACGGCGTTTCACCATGTTGGTCAGGCTGGTCTTGAACTCTGGACCTTGTGATTTGCTGGCCTCAGCCTCCCAAAGTGCTGGTATTACAGGCATGAGCCACCGTGCCCGGCCACAGAGCGTGGCTTCTGACTGCAGGCTCAGGACATTCACGCCACACGTGCTCCTGTGCAGCAGCTCCTGGGGAGAGCCAAAGCTGCCCCTTCCAGTGGGAGCCAGTGACTGGTACGCAGGAGGGCCCTCCGGGGCAGGAGCTGTGGAGCCCTCCTCTGGTGTGGGAATTCCAAGGATCTTGGCCACGGCATGGCATGCCCGTGCATGACACTTGCACTTTGCTGTTCTAGGAACCCACACACCAGTTTTCCTTATCTGCTGAAAAGACACGCACGGAGGGATTACTCACGTGGGAGGAGCTCAGGAGTCCCTCAGTGTCGGCCGTCTCTCATTGGCAAATGTGGGGTATCCATGGCGGGCCCCTCCCTGTGTGGATGGCTGAGCGGGGCCTTGAGCCGGGGCTGTGGTCGGATCCCATGATGCAGGAAGGGCTCCCAGGAGGCTGGCAGTCCAGGAAGCAACGCGTCCGTCCTCATGCACTGATGTGCCTGTCCACTGGGGCAGTCCCTTCACTCTGGGTACCTGCGGGGCCGAGGGCAGGCTGCACACCCGGGCCGAGGCCTCCTCATTCATGTCTGTCTCTTGCTCAAGAGCTGATCTACGACTGGCTCTATTGCAGCTTAATAAGCCTGTGGGGGAGGAGTGGGGAGGTGGGGACGTGACAAGCCCTACCTGTCAGGGTGTCCTGGCGGTGGTGGCCAAGCACACCAGCCTGAATAGCTGGGAGCTGGTGCAGGAGACACTGGGAAACCAGAGGCTGTGACATTGCAGGGAGGGAGGGGCCGGGGCACTCCGGACAGCGGTGCAGGAGCAACACAGCTGTGGGCTGCTGTGTCCCTCCACATGCCCCGCCTGTACCTGGGAAGCAGCACCCACAGGTGTCACGGGTCTGGGGAGCTGAGCGCCCACAGGAACTGGCAGTGGGAGGGTGGGGGCCACTGAGGTCATAGCAATGATCCCTGACAGTGTAGGGGCAGGGGGCTTGCAGGGGGCTGGAGGCGTCCCGTGTGGACAGCTGTCGGGACCTGCCAGGCACTGTGCCTGGTGATCTTCAAGCCTTGTTCCAGTCCCTGGGGAGGAGCCGTCCACCAGGGGCCTCAGGGAGAGGGGGTGGATGTCGAGGTAAGCCCGAGGCCCACGCCTGGCCCCTTGTGCCTGAGTCCCCGTGGTTTCTCTGCCGATAGGCTATGCCCACTGGAAGGGCCAAGTGTTGAATTCAGATGAGCTCCAGGAGTTGTACGAGGGCCTGAAGCTGAACGGCGTGAATAAATACGACTACGTGCTCACAGGTGGGTCCCGGCTTGAGCTGCTGCAGGGGCCTGTGGACCCCACTCCAGCCAGGGTGGGCTCAGGGACGCCCAGAGCACCGCCACCCTGGCCCATCTCCCACCCCTGCTCCTTCAAGGAGGGCCTTGGCGTGAACATGACCTATACATGTTCAAAGGTCATATATAAGGGTGGGCACGGGGATCGAACCTGTAATCCCAGCACTTTGGGAGGCCTAGGAGGGAGGCTTGCTTGAGGGCAGGAGTTGGTCCTGGCCACGCTGTACCTGCCCGCACAGTGACTGCCCTGGCAATGCCAAGTTGCCTCTCCTTCTGTGGCCACACTGGGGTTCTGGCGCCCAGGGGAGGGTGCAGGCGGGATGGTGGGAGCACTGCCCGGGGAAGGGCAGGGGGGTGGGACACTCAGGTAGGTGATGGGCTGTTATCTAGTACATTGGCATCCTTTGTCAACTTTCTGGTTAAAAACAAATTCCATTTCAGGCCAGGCACGGTGGCTCACGCCTGTAATCCCAGCACTTTGGGAGGCCAAGATGGGCCTATCAGAGGACAGGAGTTCTAGACCATCCTGGCCAACATGGTGAAACCCTGTCTCTGCTAAAATGACAAAAACTAGCCAGGTGTGGTGTCTCGAGCCTGCAGTCCCAGCTGCTCGGGAGGCTGACGCAGGAGAATTGCTTGAACCTGGGAGGCAGAGGTTGCAGTGAGCTGAGATTGCCCCATTGCACTCCAGCCTGGGTGCCAGAGTGAGACTCCATCTAAAAAAATAAAAAATTGTATTTCTATACAAATTTATATTTTCTGTTTTGAGGCAGCGTCTCTGTGGCTCAGGCTGGAGTGCGGTGGTGCAATCACAGCTCCCTGCAGCCTCCACCTCCTGGGCTTAGGTGATCCTCCACCTCAGCCTCCCAAGTGGCTGGGACTAAAGGTGTGCAGCACAATGCCCAGCTAGCTTTTTTTTTTTTCCTTTTGGTAGAGATAGGGCTTTGCCATGCTGCCCAGGCTGGTCTTGAACTCCTGGGCTCAAGTGATCCACCTGCCTTAGCCTCCCAAAGTGTTAGAATTACAGATGTGAGCCACTGCACCCAGCATCTGTACATGATCAAAGGTCATATATAAAGGTGGGCGCAGGGGCTTGAACCTATAATCCCAGCGCTTTGGGAGGCCCAGGAGGGAGGCTTGCTTGAGGGAAGGAGTTCAACACCAGCCTGGGCAACAGAGTGAGACCCCTGTCTCTACAAAACATTTTAAAGATATAAATTAGCTGGGCATAGTCCCAGGTACTTGGGAGGCTGATGTGGGAGGACTGCTTGAGCCTGGGGGTTCAAGGCTGCAGTGAGCTGTGACTGAACCACGGCATTGTGGCCTGGGGGACAGAATGAGACTCTGCCTCAAAATAAATAAGATTAAATTCAAGTGTCATATGCTTATTACTGAAAGTAGAACTATAAATAAAGGAAAGATTCCTCCTCCACCTCTCGCCATGGGTTCATGCCTCTGAAGCACAGCGTTTCTGTTGGGAATGTGGCTGGTGTCTTGGGACCCTTGGTGTCTTGGGACTGTGGGGACACCCCGCCTTCACCCGCCTCCTCCCTCCCCTCCCCTGTGCAAGGTGTGCTGGTGCTTATCTTTCTTGGAGCCACAGTCGATCGCGGTGGGTCTCCTGTTTTCCGGGGTAACCTGGATTCTCCCCCAAAGGTTACACAAGGGACAAGTCGTTCCTGGCCATGGTGGTGGACATCGTGCGTGAGCTGAAGCAGCAGAACCCCGGGCTGGTGTACGGTAGGCAGGGGTCCACCCTCGGGCCCTGTGTGGCCCGCACAGGGTGGGGCTGGCCTGGGAGCCTGGGAGGGGACGTGTCAGCTTCCTGCCTCCTCTGCACCCCTCTGTGCCCCGCTTCTCCGGGCCAGGGAGCTGCATCTGCCAGGCCTCCGAGGATGTGGGCCTGCTGAAGTCCTCAGGCTACAAGCATTTGCCGGTGACCCTGGTGTCTTGTGTGGCTGGTGGGCGACAGGTAGGGGTGTCAGTATACTCATATAGCGGGCTGCTGTGTGAAGGCCTGGGGCCCAGGCAGCACCGTTTTGTGACTGCACTGACTTTAAAGGTGAAGGGGGCAAGCGGCCACACCCAGGCAGGGCCAGGCTGGGGAGTGGGGGAGGGGCAGGGCCAGGCTAGGGAGAGGCCAAGTCTTCCGGGGCATCTGCCTAGATGGGTCTTTCCTTAGAGGCCAGGCAGCCCTGGGTCCATCTTGCTGCCTGGGAGGAGGGGCAGCGTCACCCAGCCTGGCAGACAGGCTCGCTCTGGGTCGCAGGTCTCCTGGGCAGCGGGAGGGCAGGCCTGGCCCCGAGCATTTTGCCACACTGTGTACTGTTGCCCAGAGGGAAGGTGCTTGTTGGGACAGACGTGTGAGGCCTGGGTTGTGTGTGCTGCAGCCCCAGAAGAGGAAGGGAGCCACTGCACCTGCTTGGGTGACAAGCACCTCACAGCAACTGGGATGACTGCCAGCAAACACAGAAAATAGCAAGTGTGGGCGAGGATGGGAAACCCTCACACTGCTGAGGGGAATATAGAAGGGCGTGGCCACTGTAGAAAACAGGCTGGGAATTCTCCAACAAGCAGGACACAGACACCATGTGACCAGCAAATCCACACAGACGCATGTGACCGGCAAACCCGCACCGGCGCCATGTGACCGGCAAACCCGCACAGACGCCATGTGCCAGCAAATCTGCCCTGGGTAAACATCTGAGAGAGCTGAGAACAGAGACTCAAGCAGACGTGTGTATACTCACGGCCATAGCAGCGTTATTCCAGTGACTGAGGTGGAGACAGGCTGTGTCCATTGATGGGTGACAGGCAGACAAAATGTCTGTGTGCACAGTGGAGTATTACGCAGCCTGGAAAAAGAAGGAAATCCCACTCCGCATTATGGATGAGCCTGGAGGATGTGATGCTCTGTGACAGAAGCCTCACGCCAAAGGGCAACTGTACGTGCTCCCGTTATCTGAAATATCCAGGAGAGGCCAGTTCGTCCAGGTAGAGAAGAGACTAAGGATGGGTGCAGCGTCTCAAGCATTGTGGGAGGTCATCCCAGCACTTTGGGAGGCTGAGGCAGGCGAATCACCTGAGGTCAGGGGTTCAAGACAAGCCTGGCCAACATGGTGAAACCCCATCTCTACTAAACATAAAAAAATTACCTGGGCGTGGTGGTACACACCTGTAATCCCAGCTACTCCGGAGGCTGAGGCAGGAGAATCGCTTGAACCCAGGAGGCAGAGTTTTCAATGAGCCGAGATCACGCCATTGTACTCCAGTCTGGGCGACAGAACAAGACTCCGTCTCAAAAAAAAAAAAAAAAAAAAAAGCAGACTAGATGTTTCCAAGGCTTAGGCAGGGAGAGTGCAGAGTGAGTGATTAACAGAGACACAGTGGGTTTGGGAAGATGAGAGTGTTTTGGGGGTGATTCTACAACAGCGGGAACGTCCTCACTGCCCCCGAGTTGCCTGATAATGGTAAAACTAGCAAAGATTAAGGTAGATATTTTTTACTGCATTAAAAAGTTAAATTTAAAAAGAGAAGAATATTTGCTTCAACTTGGCAGCTTAGAAAAGAAAAATGCCAAATCCGGTTGCTCATGCCCAAAATCCGAGCACTTTGGGAGGCTGAGGTGGGAGGATCGCTTAAGCCTAGGAGTTCAAAACCAGCAACCCATCTGTACAAATCATTTGAAAGTTAGCTGGGTGTGGTGGCACATGCCTGTGGTCCCAGCCACTTGGGAGGGTGAGGCAGGAGGATTGCCTGAGCCTGGAAGATTGAGTCTGTGGTGAGCCATGATTGTACCACTGCACTCCAGCCTGGGCAACAGAGCAAGATCCTGTGTAGAATTTAAAAGGGGGCGGGGGGAGAAAGAAATGTTGAGGGTTTCTTACTCGTCAGCTGTAGCCCTTGCTGATAAGATGCCCGTGTCTCTACAGTGTGTGATCCGGTCCTTGGTGACAAGTGGGACGGCGAGGGCTCCATGGTGAGTAATTTCATGTGTGTGATTTAAAAGCGCGGTGAGGCCAGGCGCGGTGGCTCAAGCCTGTAATCCCAGCACTTTGGGAGGCCGAGGCGGGAGGATCATGAGGTCAAGAGATCGAGACCATCCTGGTCAGCATGGTGAAACCCCATCTCTACTAAAAATACAAAAAATTAGCTGGGCGTGGTGGCGCGTGCCTGTAATCCCAGCTACTCAGGAGGCTGAGGCGGGAGAATTGCCTGAACCCAGGAGGTGGAGGTTGCGGTGAGCCGAGATCACGCCATTGCACTCCAGCCTGGGTAACAAGAGCGAAACTCTGTCTCAAAAAAAAAAAAAAAAGGGCGCTGTGAGTGGAGCTCTTCCTGTCCAGCCGGAAGACAGGCCCACATCTCTAAGTGTCTAACTTGGTGAGACTCCTCTGTCCAAGGGAAAAGAGACAAACCTTCTTAGGAAGGAGGAAGGGGACCCACATGTTTTTTGGAAAGCGCCAGACAGTAGATAAATATCTAAGGCTTTGCCGGCGCACGGCCGCTCCTATCAGAGCACAGAAGCCACCACTGGTGAGAGGTGCACAAACAGATGACGATTTTCTTTTTTCTTTTCTTATTGAGACAAGAGTCTCACTCAGTCGCCCAGGCTGGAGCGCAGTGGCACAATCTCAGCTCACTGCAACCTCTGCCTCCCAGGTTCAGGCAATTCTCATGCCTCAGCCTCCTGAGTAGCTGGAAATACAGGCGTGCGCCACCGCACCTAGCTAATTTTGGTATTTCTACTGGATAGGGTTTCACCATGTTGGCCAGGCTAGTCTCGAACTCCTGGTCTCAAGTGATACACCCACCTCAGCCTCTGAAAGTGCTGGGATTCTAGGCATGAGCCACCACACCCAGCCATGAATGACTATTTTCTAATAAAATTTCATTTGTGGACACTGAAATTTGAATTCTCTGTAATTTTTGTGTGTCACAAAATGTCATTCTTTTTTTGACTTTCTTTTCCCCTAACCGTTTAAAAATGTAGAAAGCATGCTGAGCGCAGTGGCTCACGCCTGTAATCCCAGCACTTCGTTGCCCACCCTGGGCAACGTGGCAAAACCTCACCATCTCTAATCAAAATACAAAATGATTAGCCGGGTGTGGTGGCACCCACCTGTAGTCCCAGCTACGTGGGAGGCTGAGGTGGGAGGATTGCTTGAGCCCAGGAGGTGGAGGCTACAGTGAGCTGAGATCGCACTGGTACACTCACTCCACAGAGTGAGACCCTGCCTCAAAAAACAAAAACCAATCTAGAAACCGCTCAGCCTGTGAGCTGTATATTAACAGCAGCAGCTGCAGCCTGCAGAGCTTGACGTGGGATCAGGTGGGTGGAGAACAGATCCCCGGTGGCCAGCCCAGAAGCCTAGAATCTAGAGGCGGGAGGAGCCCGGGTCACCCTGCTGTGGTCTGCGCCCAGGCTGTTTCAGCGTCCGCCTTCGTTCTCGTTGTGCCTCGCGTGTCTGTTTGCTGGCTGCACATTCACTCAGCACAGTGGGCTTCTCCACGGCCACAGGACACGCCCGGCCTGTGCCCTGCCTGCCCCGCTGGGTCGGTGGTTGAAGTCAGGATATCTGTCACTGGGCGTCTCATGAGTGGGTGTGCTGTTCTGCTCAGCGTCTGTCTTTGTCCACTTTCTCCTGTGCTTGTTCTCTGGAAGGTTCCGTGCCCCACGCCCGCCCCAGCTCGCGGCCCTCTGCTTTCCCTTCACAGTGCTACCTGGGTGGGCTCTGCTGACCCTCGGCAGGTGCTCGTGTTGGATCACGAAGACTTGGGGCCGCTGTCCAGTGCAGTGTGGCTAAGGGACCCTTGATGTTGTCACATTTGTTTTTCTGAACGACAGTGGCCTAAACATGAGCCCCTGTCTCAGATGAGCACTCATCCATATCTCCGTTTCCGTGAGGTCAGAGGGGTGTGTTGGGCCTCCCTACCCAAAACGGGACTCTAAAGAGCTCTCCTTCCATTTTCTGGTCCAGGGATCAGGGACTCCAGGCACCGCCCACCCATCCTTAGTGCCTCCTAAGCCATGTCACAGCCTGGTCACAGCGGCCAGTACGTGGCCACCTCAAGTGCAGAGCTGCCCCCCTGCAGGGCCCTGGTCTCCAAGGGAGGTTTCCAGGAGCAAAGTGAAGTGAAGGGATTGGGGACTCAGGTCACTCAGCCAGCAGGGACTGGCGGAATGTTCCGTAAAGCCCGCAGAATTCTTCCAGAGCTGCGCACTGGCTTCAGCTTAAATTTGATCATCAGAGAAAACCATGTATTGAATTGTTTGTTGGGCAACTTAGACAAATCAAATAGATGAAGATTGTCTGAGGCAGCCAGGAGGGGCTCCCAGCCCTCCCCGACGACCAGGGACTCCACCCACCGCCAGGCTCCCAGCCCTCCCCGACGACCAGGGACTCCACCCACCGCCAGGCTCCCAGCCGTCCCCGACCAGGGACTCCACCCACCGCCAGGCTCCCAGCCCTCCCCGACGACCAGGGACTCCACCCACCGCCAGACTCCCAGCCCTCCCCGACGACCAGGGACTCCACCCACCGCCAGGCTCCCAGCCCTCCCCGACGACCAGGGACTCCACCCACCGCCAGACTCCCAGCCCTCCCCGACCAGGGACTCCACCCACCGCCAGGCTCCCAGCCCTCCCCGACGACCAGGGACTCCACCCACCGCCAGGCTCCCAGCCCTCCCCGACCAGGGACTCCACCCACCGCCAGGCTCCCAGCCCTCCCCGACCAGGGACTCCACCCACCGCCAGGCTCCCACCCCTCCCCGACCAGGGACTCCACCCACCGCCAGGCTCCCAGCCCTCCCCGACCAGGGACTCCACCCACCGCCAGGCTCCCAGCCGTCCCCGACCAGGGACTCCACCCACCGCCAGGCTCCCAGCCCTCCCCGACGACCAGGGACTCCACCCACCGCCAGACTCCCAGCCCTCCCCGACCAGGGACTCCACCCACCGCCAGGCTCCCAGCCCTCCCCGACCAGGGACTCCACCCACCGCCAGGCTCCCAGCCCTCCCCGACCAGGGACTCCACCCACCGCCAGGCTCCCAGCCCTCCCCGACCAGGGACTCCACCCACCGCCAGGCTCCCAGCCCTCCCCGACCAGGGACTCCACCCACCGCCAGGCTCCCAGCCCTCCCCGACGACCAGGGACTCCACCCACCGCCAGGCTCCCAGCCCTCCCCGACGACCAGGGACTCCACCCACCGCCAGGCTCCCAGCCCTCCCCGACCAGGGACTCCACCCACCGCCAGACTCCCAGCCCTCCCCGATGACAGGGGACTCCACCTACCATCTGCCTCCCAGCCCTCCCCGATGACAGGGGACTCCACCCACTGCCGGGCTCCCAGCCCTCCCCGATGACCGATGACTGGGGACTCCACCCACCGCCGGGCTCCCAGCCCACCCCGATGACCGATGACTGATGACCAGGGACTCCACCTACCATCTGCCTCCCAGCCCTCCCCAATGACAGGGGACCCCACCCACTGCCGGGCTCCCAGCCCTCCCCGATGACGGATGACTGGGGACTCCACCCACCGCCGGGCTCCCAGCCCACCCCGATGACCGATGACTGGGGACTCCACCCACCGCCGGGCTCCCAGCCCAACCCGATGACCGATGACTGGGGACTCCACCCACCGCCGGGCTCCCAGCCCACCCCGATGACTGATGACTGGGGACTCCACCCACCGCCGGGCTCCCAGCCCTCCCCAATGACCGGGGACTCCACCCCCCTGCCGGGTTTCCATTTTCTCCTCTCCCTCCTCCCTCCCTCCCTCTCTTTTTCACCTCGTCCTCCTCCCAGGCCCTCTGCAGGAACTCACTGTGCCCCGAGTCCTCCCTCGGCCCCTTGCGGCTCTTAGGGTCCCCAGTCTCATGCGCCTCTGCCACGCGTGCCCTGTGATGGGAACCACTTGTCTGCACAGCCAGGGACCTGCCCCGAGCCTGGACTTCAGGGGTCTTTTTGGGGAGCACCCCCTGGTGGGAGTAACTCTCCTGCTGTCTCCTCTGTTCCCAGTATGTCCCGGAGGACCTTCTTCCTGTTTACAAAGAGAAGGTGGTGCCGGTTGCAGATATTATCACGCCCAACCAATTTGAGGCCGAGTAAGTCATTTTATTTATATTATATCATAGTATCATTATATTAAGTTATGTTTTACTTTATTTATTTTTTGAAATGGAGTCTCACTCTTGTTGCCCAGGCTGGAGTGCAGTGGCGCAATCTCAGCTCATTGCAACCTTCTCCCGGGTTCAAGTGATTCTCCTGCCTCAGCCTCCCAAGTAGCTGGGATTACAGGCGTGAACCACCACAGCCAATTCTTGTATTTTTAGTAGAGATGGGGTTTCACCATGTTTGGCCAGGCTGGTCTTGAACTCCTGACCTCAAGTGTTCCACCTGCCTTGGCCTTCCAAAGGGCTGGGGTTACAGGCATGAGCCACTGCACCTGGCAGAGTAAAGTCATTTAAATGGCGAACAGTACCGGTCCTTCCCCATGAAGAGCCACAGAGCCCCTAGGAGTGGAAAAGGACCAGTGTCCTGGAGCTGCGGGCTTTCGGGGCCACCACAGCGGGGGTGGGGGGGCAGCTGTGGAGGAGGCCAGGTCACCTGCCACCCTGTGAGGGGAAGCGAAGTGTGTTGGGCCTGCCTGCCTGCCTGATACTGAGTTTGAAAAGGTCTTTCTTTGGGTGCATGCCCCACCCCCCCAGCTAAAGAATCAGACGCCAAGGGGAAGCCACCAGCACCCCAGTGCCGTGAAGCGTGGAGCAACCCAAGGAGGGGGCCGGTGCCTATCACAGCGTAGCTCTACCTGGCCCTGAGCCAGGTCTCGAGCCCCCCATTCACACAGGGATGGGGTTGACTGGACTCTTGGAGTCCTGGGATCCCTGACCTGGGCCTGTCCGAACCGGGGGGCCCCGAGCCATGGGTGGTCTGCCCATGCATTAATCATTATCGGCTGTTTTGACTTTGTGTGAACGTCAGTCACCCATGTTGGGACCCTGTGCTGTGGCCGCTGTTCATCGCCATGGTTACCTATACACAGCAGCCATGACTGGGCCTTGCCTGCCTCCTGTCGTGTGAGGGGCCCCTTTGGAACCAAACCCCACATGTTGCAGAGGCCCTGGCCCGTGGTGGCCAGTGGACAGAGTTCCCTGTGGGGATGGCAGTTTCCAGAGCCGCTGGGGTTTTGGGAATGTCAGCACACAACCGGGAGAGGAGGGCCTCACCTGTCCCCGCTTTCCTGCCCCCGCCTGTCTTCCAGGTTACTGAGTGGCCAGAAGATCCACAGCCAGGAGGAAGCCGTGGCGGTAAGGAGACGGCTGCCTGAGTGGCACCGTGGGGTCGCTTCTCCCCAGTGGTGACTGAACCGTCCACCAGTCAGGGGCCTCCAGAGACCAGCAGGATATGTGTGTGTGCGCGCGTGTGTGTGCATGCGTGTGTGTGCGCGCGCGCGTGTGTGCATGCGTGTGTGCACGCGTGTGCGCGTGTGTGTGCATGCGTGCACATGTGTTTGAAGAGATATTACAAGGTGGCGGCTTGAGCTCTTGGGGGCTCCCGGGCTGGTTTGGGATTTGCAGGGCAGGCTGTAGGGAAGGGTGGGCTGGACGCTTGAGACAGCAGCAGATGCAGCAGCCCGAGGTAGTTTCTTCAGTCATTTTCTCCGAGACTTGCGGACCGCGGGTGTCACGTAGGCATCGAGCCTGGGTAGTCAGTCACCTTAGTCCTTTTGGCTGCTGTGACAAAATGCCTGAGACTGGATGATTTATTTAAAAAACAGAACTTTTAGCCAGGTGTAGTGGCTCACGCCTCTAATGCTAGCACTTTGGGAGGCCAAGGTGGGTGGATTGCTAGGTCAAGAGTTTGAGACCAGCCTGGCCAACAAGGTGAAACTCCATCTCTACCAAAAATACAAAAGCCAGGCGAGGTGGTGGGTGCCTATAATCCCAGCTACTGGAGAGGCTGAGGCAGGAGAATGGCTTGAAGCCGGGAAGTGGAGGTTGCAGTGAACCAAAATCGCCCCACTGCACTCCAGCCTGGGCAACCAAGTGAGTGAGACTCCGTCTCAGAAAACAAACAAACAAAATGGCCCAACTTCGTGGCTCACGCCTGTGATCCCATAACTTTGGGAGGCCGAAGCGGGCAGATCACGTCAAGAGACCAAGACCATCTTGGCCAACATGGTGTAACCCCGTCTCTACTAAAACTACAAAAATTAGTTGGGTGTGGTGGCGGGAGCCTGTAGTCCCAGCTACTCGGGAGGCTGAGGCAGGAGAATCGCTTGAACCTGGTAGGCGGAGGTTGCAGAGAGCCGATATCATGCCAGTGCACTCCAGCCTGGGTGACAGAGTGAGACTCCATCTCCCAAAAAAAAAGAAAAAAACCCCAGAACTTTGTTCCCCACAGTTCTGGAGGCTGGGAAGTCCAAGGTCAAGGTGCCGGCAGGCTCAGGGTCTGGCAAGAGCTGCTCTGCTGCCAGGACCGCGCCTCGTTGCTACGTCCTTGTGTGTGGACAGCCCGTGCCGCTCCCTCCAGCCCTCTCATCGGGCGTGGAGAAGGGGTGCCCTTGTGACTCAAGCCGCTGAATACTGCCATGACTTAAGCCCTTGAGAATACTGCCATGTGGGTGTGATGTTTCCACGTGTATTTTAGGGCGGACACCAGCAGACTGCGGTGGGTGTCCACGTGCTTTGGGCCACGTTCCGAGGCAGCCTGGCCCTGCCCTGAGTTTTCACAGCCCAGGAGCCTTTTCCTGGGAATGGGCCACTGCAGGGGCCACTCCTCTCACTTTGAGGCCTTTCACTGAGCTGGTACTGGGCCCGGGGGCCACAGAGTCAGCGGGCCCTGGGGCAGGGTCCAGATTCTGCTATGGACACGTGCTCTGTGTGTGTGTGTGTGTGTGCGCGCGTGTGTGTGTGCGCGTGTGCACATTCATGCTGCCTGCTCTGAGGCAACTGTGCAGTGGAGACAGGATTTTCTACGAATTACAGAAAAGCGGAGGTATAGTGAGGCCAGCTCCTCCCTGATGCAGGACAGGGATGCGTCTGTTCATTTCCCTGCCCAGACCCCAGGGGGAGGCCCTCTCGGGTCACCTGGGGCAGCCACACTGTTTGGGCTGGCAGTTTGGCGGGGATGGTGGCTGACCAGTTGGCTCTTTCCCCTCCCGGGAGTGCCACCACTGGGAATGGGCTGCAGGGAGTGGGGTGTGGCAGCTGCAGCTGACGCTCCCCATGCCGCTGGCAGGTGATGGACATGCTGCACTCCATGGGCCCCGACACGGTGGTCATCACCAGCTCTGACCTGCCCTCCCCTCGGGGCAGCGACTACCTGATTGTGCTGGGGAGCCAGAGGAGGAGTAAGTGCCCCAGTCACATGCCACGGGCTCCTCGGGTTGCCCAGAGGAAGATGTCCTTTGGGGCTGTAAGAATGTTTTAGGTTCAATAGCATGAAAATTATGCTTTATCCAGCACTGGGATGACGCCCCCATTTTATAGGCTCTCAGGGATCGGGTGGAATTCCCAACACTGCACAGGCGATGATGAATGGCCCGGCTGGAGCCGACTTCCACAGCCCAGCATCGTAGACCTCCCTCACAGCCGGGCCGTGTCCCCGAGCTCACTGGGAGGACGCCTCTGCCTGGCTGTTCTTAGCGTTTAAGTACAGAGACACCAACTGGTTGATTTCTCTGAATCGTGTGAAATGATGCAGCAGGCTAGAGCCATGAGCTAAGCTAGTGGCCCCAAGTCCACACCCTCGGCCCCGAGAGAACAGTCCTGTGTACAGCCTCCACACCACTGTGTCTGCGTGTGGACATGGGAGCCCTGTGGGCACACACAAATGCATATACATGCGGGCACACGTGCACACATACATGAGACAGACATGCAGACTTGCACGTATGGGACAAATGTGCATGCATGTGGGCACAAATGCACATACACATGGGCACATGCACACATACACGGATGGGCGCACACGGACAGGTACACAGGCATACACGCACACAGGCACACAAGCACAGATACATGTGAACACACAGGCACATACACAGGCATACATGCACACGGGCACACACTGCAGACAGCCGTACGTGCACACACAGGCACATGGAGTCATGCTTGCACACACATGCATACGGGCACACAATTGGACAGGCACACATACACATGGGCATGCACAGACACGCACACATGCACACAGGCAGATGCACACACATACACGTGGATGTACACATGTGCAAACACATGGACACACGTGGACACATACACATGGGCACAGACACATGCAGACACACACAGATGCACACACATGCATACATGTAGATGTACACACGTGCATACACATGGATACACGTGGACACATACACATGCAGGCGCACACATACAGATGCACATACATACATGCATACACATGGATGTACACACGTGCATACACATGGACACACGTGAACACATGCATGCAGATGCACACATACAGATGCACAGACATGCATGCATACACATGGATGTACACAAGTGCATACACATGGACGTGTGGACACATACACATGCAGATGCACACAGATGCACAGACATACATGCATACACATGGATGTATACATGTGGACACATACAGACACATACAGATGTACAGACACATGCATACACATGAATGTACACACGTGCATACACATGGACACATGCAGACGCACACATACAGATGCACAGGCATACATGGGTACACATGGATGTACATATGTGCATACACGTGGACACATACATGCAGATCCACACGGATGCACAGCCATGTGTACACATGGATATACACACGTTCATACGTTGTGGACACACATGCAGACGCACACAGATGCACAGACATACATGCATACACATCGATGTACACACGTGCATACACATGGACACATGTGGACACATGCAGACACGTACAGATGCACAGACATACATGCATACACATGGATGTATACACGTGCATACACATGGACATACACGTGGACACGTGCAGACACGTACAGATGCACAGACATACATCATACACATGGATGTATACACGTGCATACACATGGACATACACGTGGACACATGCAGACACGTACAGATGCACAGGCATACATGCATACACATGGACATACACGTGGACACATGCAGACACGTACAGATGCACATACATGCATACACATGGATGTATACACGTGCATACACATGGACATACACGTGGACACATGCAGACACGTACAGATGCACAGACATACATGCATACACATGGATGTACACACGTGCATACACATGGACATACACGTGGACACACATACACACTTGGATGCGTCCAGACATCTCCTACTTCTTGACGCTGTTGTTACTCTCAGGAGCTGCACAGCGACCCCCGAGACTGGCCAGCCTGTGCGTGTGGCCCTCTGAGGGTGTAGTCTCACTTTCCCTTGCAGCGGTGATGGGGCCCCCATGCATGCCCCCGTGTCCTGAGAGAGACCACCCTGTGCTCTGCCCCTGTGACCCTCGCTGCCACTGTGCTTAGGAGGACCAGGGACAGGGAGGCCGGCCATGGCAGAGGAGCTGCAGGCCTCAGTGGCCTTGCCCGTCTTCTCCCCCAGGGAGTCCCGACGGCTCCACAGTGATGGAGCGCATCCGGATGGACATTCGCAAGGTGGACGCCGTCTTTGTGGGCACCGGGGACCTGTTTGCTGCCATGCTCCTGGCGTGGACACACAAGCACCCCAGCAACCTCAAGGTCAGCCACGCTCCTTGCTCCCCTCCTAGGCCACTCCCATGGCACCTCATGGGGAGCAGGGTACGAGAGTTCTGGTGGAGGGACCCTGCTGAGCCAATGGCCTGGCGCTGAGTGCTGGCCCAGTTATGGGGGAGGGCAGTGGCCAGGCTGTGGGCTCCGGAGTTGCACCTGTCACCCTCACATCACCTCCCCATCTCTTATTTGGGACCTAGGGATGCTCAGAGTCTTGGGGGGTTCGGGTGAGAGGTGCTTCACAGACCTGTGGGGCCCCACCTGGATTCAGAGGCCACCCGTCTGGCGTTGGTGCAGGGCTGCGGGGTGCATGGGACTGTCATGTCCTTGGTGACCTGGGAGCTGCTGTGGAAGTGTGGCCCCCTGCAGCATATTTCCCACAGTGTGACCATGTCAACAACCTGGGGGACTGAAAGGCCGGAGCCGCCCTTCAGGGGCAATAGGTGGGGGCTGAGGACAGGGTCCAGGCAGGGGCAGAGAGCCATCTTTCCGGGTGTCGTCTGGATGTTTGTCTGCATTTTAGATTTGCAGAGGTGGGGTGGCTTTGCTCAGACACTGCAGGGCGGAGTGGGTCTGTTGGTAGACAGACATGGCAGGTTGGGATATGGGGTCTTGTGAGACTTTCTTGTGTGTCCCGTGATTAAGTGCACAGCTCAGCAGGGACAGAGGAGTTTTGTTACAACTGTGTCACTTAGATTTGTGACCTCCTGTGCTACGTGCAGCAAAGTTGCATTGGGGCCTCACCAGGTGGTTTTGTCATCTGAGTCCGAGGACCTCTGGAGGGTGTCTTCTTATAACGCTGTTCAGAGCCCAGCCGTGGTTTGAGGTGGTCTCTAGCCCCTGGGCTCAGCCCCTCCAACTCCCCTGGGTGCTCCCTGCTGCATCTGCGTGGGTTTAGGGGGAGGGAGGGGCTTGCCATCCCTTTGGAATGTGGGGTAGGGCAGGGGTGCCGTGGGAGCGGCAGGAGGAAGTCAGGATGCCTCCGTCACCGTTGCGTGCGCCAGGGAAGGAAGGATTCAGGGGTCAGGACCTGGAGGTGGCTCTCCCAGTGTTGTCTTTGCCGGGCTCCTCAAGGAACCACATGTCCCCCGGGGCGCACCTCCTCCCCAACAAGTCAGTTTCAGCTGAGTGTCCTGGTGTGTCAAACAGAAGAGGTGGACTGAGGCCCTTCACCTCCCGTGGGCCAGCCTTTGCACAGCCCAAGCTGGAATGTGAATGCATGGTCCCCTCATTCCTTCTCTTCTGGCCCCTCAGGGGCAATTAAACAGGGCCATTGAGCAGGCCTGCCGTGTTTAATTGGTGGCGCAGGGCAGTGGAAACATGCCAGCTGGTGTCCCAAGGAGGCCTCACTGCCCGGCCACCTAAGGTCACATTCTGGGTGTGGCCAGCCCAGGGCTGTGGAGTCCGGGAGCAAGGCCAGTGCTCCCCGGCACCTTTGGCTGAGCTATAGGCAGGAACGCCCCCCCATAGACTCGTTATAAGGAGTTAATTCTGGGAACTCTTACCAAGCATGTGCTGCCTGCCAAGTTCTATGCAGGTCAGGAGGCTGTCCCTTCTGTGAGCCATCTCTGGTCCAGAGCAGGTGGCTGGTACCAGTCATCCACTCAGCTCTCCAGGCTCTCTGCTGGGCAGTCAAAGCCTGTCCTCCAGGGCTCAGTGCGGGCACTGGTGGAGCCAGCTCCCCAGGTGTGGAGAGCAGGACAGTCCTTATATTCACTGGAAGTCCCCTCCGGCAGTAGTGGGCATGTCGGGTGTCGTGAGTGTCACAGGGGCACAGCAAGTCTCTCCTCCCCGCAGGTGGCCTGTGAGAAGACCGTGTCTGCCATGCACCATGTTCTGCAGAGGACCATCCAGTGTGCAAAAGGTACGGCGGCCGGGCTGCGTGGGCTGCGTGGGCTCCTGGCTCTCCAAGCGGGTGGGACGGAAGAGCCAGCGTGTGCTGGTTTCTAGGGTATGACCAGTGTCTCCTGCTGGCCTCGCCTTTGGGAGTCGGGGCAGCCGGCAGCAGCGGGAGCCCCTCTGAGATGGGAGCTCAGTGCCCTTCTGCCCGCTCTGCAGCCCAGGCCGGGGAAGGAGTGAAGCCCAGCCCCATGCACCTGGAGCTGCGGATGGTGCAGAGCAAAAGGGACATCGAGGAGCCGGAGATCGTCGTCCAGGCCGTGGTGCTGTGAGGGCCGCAGCGCTCCCCGTGACGCGCAGTGCGTCGGTGTCTCCGTGTCTGTCCCTGTGAAAACATGTAACGTTTCAACCGAAACCTGATATTTTTTTCTTTCATGAGTGTCCAGCATCCGCTGGTCTTCATTGTGAAATGTGCCAGTCGTGCTTTGTGAAAAATAACAAAGCGGTCACAGAAATCTGTGCTCTGAAAACCCGGCTCCCCTCCCCACATGGCTCTGGGGCCTCCGGGAAGACGCCCCCATTTGCCATCTCGGGGGCATTTCCACAGGGGAGAGAGAAAGAGGGTGAGGCCGAGACTGCTGAGTGTGGAGCCTCGAGCAAGCCCCCGGTTGCCACTGCTGGGCCTGGCTGGGCCTGGGTGGGCCTGGGTGGGCTTTCCTTGCACCTCTGAGAAGGAGCTGGGTGGGCATGGTTAGGGTCGGGAAGAATTATGCCAAATAGCTCTACCGTTATTTCCGCCACATCCTCTCGGTTCCTGTATTCGAATTTTTGTTTCCTACTTGGCTGCTTGTTCAGTCCCTGGGGATTTCAGATCCCAGTCGTTTTACCGTGCGGGAGGCTGATGTGAGCGTGCTCGGATGTGCACAGGTGCAGCGACAGGGACCTTGCCAGGCCCCAGCAAACTCAAGTCAGTTGCTCCTGTACCCCATGGGCGTCTTCTGGGAATCTGCTGAGCAGTGTGAGGAAGATGCTAGTGCAGTGAGGTCCATGCTGGGCCGAGGGCAGCCTTGAAGTCCTGGAGAGTCACCCATCAGGTGCCCTGCGGGAACTCGCCTCATCGTGCTGCGGCAGGCGGATACTGCACATTTGCAGGTGCGGCCTGTGACAGCGCACGGAGCCACGGCGTTTGTACAGACAGGACGGGGGGTGCCCGCTCCCCAGCCCCGCTGGCACATTTAACCCTTGTCCCCTGCCCTCAGTTCTACATTCTGCACCCCAGCAAATGCCCAGGGGCAAGAAGCCGCTCTGGGAGCTGCTAATCTGAGGTGGATGTGGGCACGGTGGGGGTGGGTAGCTCCCAGGCCCTTGGGCAGGCTGGAGTGGCAGCAGAGGCCCCAGCACCAGCTCTGGGGTGTGCAGTCATCCTCTGCTGAACGATGCCCTGAGCTTGGGGTCTCCCAGGCATAGCTGGAGGCAGCAGTGCCTGTCTCTGGCCTGCCTTGCTCTCAGCCACACCCCTGTACCCCTGTACCCCATCTCTGGGGTGTGCAGAGGTTTGTGTCTCCAGGAAACCCATAGCTGGACAGAAATGGGGAGATGCAGGAAGTGGGGGCCCCTGGGAAGCGGACTCTCCAAAGGGGTACCCCCACCCCAATACCGTCCCCACAGGCGGGCCCTCCCGGAGCCCACACCCTCCTGTGAGGCTGCTCCAGTGTTTCCGGAAAGACTCACTTGCCAGGGGTGCATTTTTTATTGAAAAATGCCCTAAAGCGAAGAGATGCAAGTCTAGATGGAATCCCCCGCCCGTCCCCACTCTGTTCGTTCTGAATGTCTTCACGAGCGTGTGTCAGGGTGCCTCGCTCCCCCACCTCAACCAGCGAGTCGGGCACGAGTTTCCCTGCTGTGTTTCCTGGCTCCAAGGACGTGGGTGGCAGGCCCCTTGCAGTCCAGGGCTGCCCTTCCCTGCAGGGCACCACCGCCCCAGCAGGAAGGAGGAAGCCTGTGGCCGGAGCCTGGCGGGGAGGCAGCCTACCCAGTGGGTGAGCGCAGGGCCCCCCTCCCCCGAGCTACCACGGCCTGGGGCCTCAGTGGGGCTTTTAAGTGGAAATACCCCCACTGGCAAGTGGAGACTGGGGCATGTGCCACGTGGCCAGAGGAAAGCTTTTCTTTTTCCTTCTTTCTTTCTTTCTTTTTTAACATCCAGAGCGAGTAGAGCAGCAGGGAAAGAACCTAAATGTCTCTCTTCCTTGAGTTGGTGAAAACCCAGCGTGAGAATACAGCGCCGGGTGTGGGGCTCCTGGCGAGCACGCTTCCATTCTTGGCTCTTTGAGGCTGGTTTCAGAGGCTGAGTTCCCACATCAGGTTTGGTTTTTGGACTTCCCTAATTAAGCAAGAATTAGGAGAATGACCGTCCCCGCAGACGCTGCCCATAAATCCTGAGCTCCGTGTCGCAATCCGAAACTTCCCGTCTGTTTTCTTTGGCCATATCTGCAGAGCCAGGAGAGGCCTGGGCTGCGACTAAGGAGAAAGAAATGGGGGTTTCTGGGAGCAGATGGTGCCTTGGTGCAGGCAGGGCTCTTGTGGAAATCCTTAGCCCCTATGGGGAAGGTGGCGGGCATCCCCCCAGGCGTGTTCCGTCTCTCATGACTCGGGCAGAGGCCCCGGTGGTCTTGATTTTCCGTTTCCTATCCAGGAATTGGCCGTGGGTTTTCTTGTGACTTGGATCCAAATTAGAACTGATCTTCCTTTGTACTTTCCCTAGTTAGTGGCATGCAGAACACGGAGCGGAATTTCTTTTAAGGTGAGCGCTGTATCCTGCAGCACTGCCTGCTTCTTATCAGGGTACGGGATTTTAATCCTTTCTTAATGTGCTTTTTCAGACCACCTCCTGTACACCATAAGGAGAAATTCCACAATGGGATCCTTGTTAAAATGGATTTTAAACTCTTGCCTAGTCTGCCAAGGTTATGTGCACGTGTTAATTCTGCAGAACAGATAGTTACCACGGGTGCTTCGCTTCATGCCCTGTTCTTAAGCTCATTAGAACCAGTTTTTAAGATGTTTGGTCTTACATGGACGGAGGCTTGGCTTAGCCACACTGATGAGTAAGTGAGGGTTGTTTTCATCTTGAGATCACCGTTCTAGAGAGGTGCCTACAGCAGGTGGGAGGCCTGAGCCCCTGGGGTAATTGTCCCCACTGCCATTCGAGGTCAGAAAATAAAACTGCGTGTGAGCTCAGGTGTCTCTCGTGGTTGGTGTCAGAGAAAGCAGAGCCCATGGTGGGGCACAAGGTACAAGGCCCTGGGAGGGCGCCGGCCAGGGCAGGTGGCATGGATGGCTCTCAGACAGCTGGGCCCCGAGCAGCCCCCGCCCTGCCTGTCCACCTGCCCTGGCCCCAGCCTCTTGTTCTCTTTAGAGAGAGGTGAGAGTCTTCTGGCGGCTGCAGCTCTTTCCTTGTCCTTCCTGCCCTCTGATGGGGCCCCCTGTGTGGGGCAGCAGAATCCACCTTTATGCAGATCAGAGGCGCCCGACCGTGTGCCTGGGCTGTGCTCTGCTGCCCAGGTAGCTGGGAATGTCCCTCTCTCCCTGCCTCCTGCCTGGCCTCATGAGCCTCACCCCTCTTTGTGGAGCACCTGCCTGGGCCCAGAGCGGGGCGGGGACTGGAGTTTGTGAGTGAACAGAGCGGGTTATATGGAGACAGGGAAATGAGAACTTTGGACTGGGCTTTCCAAGTCCAGCTGGGAGCTCTGTGGTCCCCCAACGCCACTCTGCCCACCAGAGGGACGTGCCTGCAGAGCACTTTCCTTCCACGTGGCCTCTCACCACCAGGCCAGTGGCTTCCCCTGAGACTCCCTGGAGAGTCCACCCACCAAGCACTCAGACAGATGCTGATCAGCAGCCCCAGGGGGCACCCAGAAGGATCCCAGGCCCTAGGGAGGGTGGCTCTGGGAGGCCAGGTCCACTGCCTGGAAGTCTGTCAGCCCTGAGCCAGGGAAGCCTGGAGCTTGGCCTGGTGGGTCTGGGTGGACACTGTCCCTGTCCCCCACCCCCCACCAGACTCTGAGCACAGGGGAGGAGGCCTGAGCCCGTGTGGTCCTGTAGCCGTGGGCAGAGCTGGCCATGTCGTGTGTGTGTTCCTGCCTGCTAGGTGCAGGTGCTGGCTGGCCACCTGCAGGTGGAAGGGGGTGGTAATCTTGGATTTTATGTATTTGTTTTTTTCAGACAGAGTCTTGCTCTGACACCCAGGCTGGAGTCTCCGCCTCCCAGGTTCAAGTGATTCTCCTGCCCCAGCCTTTCGAGTGGCTGGGATTACGAGTGCACACCAGCACACCTGGCTGATTTTTGAATTTTTGGTAGAGACAGGGTTTCACCATATTGGCCAGGCTGGTCTCGAACTCCTGACCTCAACTAATCCACCCACCTCAGCCTCCCAAAATGCTGGGATTAGAGGCCTCAGCCACCGCATCCGGCCGAATCTTGGAATTTTTAGAGACAGCGCCTCCCTTGGCCGGAGTTGCTGCCTCCAGCCGCACACCAGACACCTCCCGCCTCTAGCAGCAGAGGCTGCCACCAGGCCAGAGCCAGGCCGGGTCTCAGAGAGCCGCCCTCACCCTTCTAGGGGACTTCCTTCAGTGTGCGGCTCAGCTCTGTTAGGGGGTAGGAACCCATGTGTGTGGCCTGAGCCACGCTCCCCAGTGAGTAGCTGGGCTCCGTGCATGTCCCATCCCTGCAGAACCCGGTGGGCATCGCAGCGTGGCAGCTGTGCCCCAGCCACAGCCCGGCATCCCGGCCAGGGCCCACACTCACTCCCGCTGGGGCTTTCTGCCGTGTGTGTGTCCTCCTGTCGCCTCTGCTCTTCGTTCTCATGCTTCCTGTTTCCATCAGTGTCTAAAACCACATTCCTGCCTTTCGTCGACACACAGTGTGCTCGTTTGTTTAAGACCGAGTTTAATGAGTAAGTTTAGATCTGACTGGTCCATACCCTAAACTTTGTAGTAATAAGAAGCTCTTCCTGGAATCTTTCTGTCATTCTGGCAGCGTAAACAGGCGTTGTTAAGTTTTCCTGCTGTCTGAGCCGAGCAGGACCCTGTCCCAGAGCGGAAGATTCCCCTCCATCTCTGACCCCCTTCCTGGGACAAGCCTTGTGGGGGCCCTGGCTTCAGGGCTGTGGTGGGGACAGCACCCTCAAATGCCAGCCTCCTGTCTTCCCGTCACCGGTTCACTACAGGGCCATTTCTGATCTTTGTCCAACAGGAAACCCATTTCTGGTGTGATCTGCCTTCCAGGGCCACAGGGCCACTCAGCCCAGGCATCTCTGTCCTGCGGGTCAGTGCTGGGACGGACAGCAAGGGCAAGCCCAGTGTCTGGCAGATGGGGTGGGTGAGGAAGGAGAGGGGAGGACACCACCCTAAGCCTGTGTCTCGGAAGTCCCCCACACGGCCTGGGAAGCCTGTCCTGAGTGACACCATGGGCCTCGCCTCGCCCCGCCCAGCAGCCTGCAAAGCCAGCATCGCTG